ATCCATAAACAGAGGGAAGGAAGAAGATGGCAAGGAATAGGGTGAACTGGGGAGCTGCCCAGCTGTCAGAGCTGCCCAGCTCTCGGAGCTGTGAGGTGGCGATGGTGGGTGAGCCTGAGCAAGCCCAGCCTTAGGTAAAGGGGAAAGGGCTGGCCCCGAGAAGTGACCACATCTAAAGTACAGTCACTGGACTAGCAATGAGGGAAATCAAGGCACACACCTCTTTCCTCTACCACTCCCCCTCTTTCTCCCTAGGCTAGTGTCCTCTGTCCAAGCCATCATGGCCTCCACAGCCGGCTACATCGTCTCCACCTCCTGCAAGCACATCATTGATGACCAGTAAGTGTCATGAGACCACCTCTGCCCAGGTCCCAGCAGTCTGTGTGTATGTGTGACCCCAGATTAGCCCGCATCTAGCAGGGAACTCTGTCAGTGGTCCCCAAGTCCTTAACTTGGACTTGAGCAAGTTAACTTCAATAGCTGCAACTCAACACCCAGGGATAAATTTATCCCGTCCTGTCCTTAAAGGTCAGAGGAGGGGGAGAAGGGGTGAAGATCAAAGAGAATCCTCCTCCCTAGTCGTCTTCCCCTGCCTGCTGGGTTGTCGTGGTTCTCATCTTTTCCAATGCTGCCTCCTCCTTCTCTTACACCCAGGAGTCAGACCCAACTTCCTATGGGCACCCAGCTCGGAAGCCCAGTCCTCATGCCAGGCTCACCCCTCACCTCCTCCCAGAGATCCAGGTGTCCAGCCCTAGCTCTGTGCTCCAGGGAGAAGAGAGGAGAGAGATGACCCATACAGGGCCACTAATGGCCAGGCAGTGGGGGAGGGGAGAAGAAAGAAGAGAGGCCAAAATTTGGCACAGCAGGTGCTGCAATGCCTGGGGCTTGCCAAAATGGCCCGGGCCTGAGAGACAGGGCAGGAGGAGGAGGAGGAGGAGAGGGGCCCTGTCCGTGGTGCTGATGGCCTGCTCTGGTTGACCCACAGGCTGCTGCTAGTGGTTTATGAGTGCTGGCAAGGCTCGCTCTTAACTTCTGACCCTGCTTCCCTTCTCTGGTGGCCACTAAGCCCCAGGTGACATCGTCCAGGGGACCTGACCTGGAGGTCCATCCCCTCTTTGCTGCAGATGAGTCCCCTCTACTACAGCATAAGACAGCATCCCTTCCTGGAAGGGCTGCTGTGAGGAGGAGTTGAGTTGATATGTGGCAGACGTCTAGGACAGTCCTTGGTACTTCCTCCTCCTCTATAGTGGATGGCTTAACTTCGTCAGATCCTGCTGGTGACTTGGCTTCCTTGTGCCTCTTTCTGCCCCTCCCTGACCTGGCCAAGATGAGCTTAGGCTCCCACAATTCCTCCCTGAGCCACACCAGAATCACCTTTCAGCTCTTGCATTCCCCTCCTCCCCAGGTCAGTTCTTGTCCCTCCCCCCTTTAATCCTCAGGTAGGTGAGGAGGATCAAGGTTAATCCAGGGGCAACAGCTGTTCCTACTTCTGAGCACCTAATTGCTGAGAGGGTGGGGATGGGATTGAACCCTCCACCTCGCAGCCAGGCCTGGCAGCCACTCTGATCTTCCCACATGGCCCAGCTATCCCCTCCCCTATTTCGTGTGTGGAGCCAGCTCTCTGGGCCACTCCCTGCTACAACTTCTCTAATGGGCCATTTGGACCCTTTTCCACTCTCTCCCTATTTTCCTGCCCTTTGTTTCTAACCAGCTGTCTCTCCCCTCTCCACTCCCTGCCTCCAGGCTACAGTTCCAGCACTTGCTGGACCATGGGTCTGGGGTTCCCTGTTCCCTGATTGTTCCTGCTAGAGAGTGTGCTGCCTCTCCCCTCTTGGGTGGCCAGCTCAGGGCTTGCCAGCTGCTTCCACTTGCCCCCTGCTGGCCCCCACCCCAGCTTCTCCTCTGCCCCTCATAGCACCCTGGGTTCCTGGGAGCTCTCCTTGTGTGTAGCTTCTGGCTGACTTTGCTTTCATCTCTCCTCCTAGTTGGGTAAGCTCCCCTGGGCCTGCCATCCTGACCTCCCATCCCCACCTCAGACTTATCTCAGGACTGGAGGATTTAAGAGCAAGTGCCAATGTGCTGACTCAAGAAGAAAAACTCAATGTTGCATATTCATGCACTTCTCATTTTTGTTTACTCTCAAAGTACAGACAACTTTCTCTGTTCTTGGCTCCTTTCGCTCAGCGTTTTCTCCTTAATGCTTGGCTGTACCTGCAGAAACAAGAGATTGGGTCCCACTCAGGCAGAATGAGCAGCCCTGACACCACGTCTAACCTGCCAACAGGCCCTAGTCTGACACCTCGGGAATCTTCTAGGGACAGCACAACTGAAGCAAGGGCTGTGGAGCCAGAGTTCCCATGTTTATTCCTTGGCCAGCTTACCTTGCCTGTGACTCAGTTTCCTCATCTGTACAATGGGGAGGATGAACCCCTACCTTTCATAGGGTTTTGTGAGAAGTAAATAAGTTTTCGTGTGTCAGCATTCAGCACATTAGACTAGCACCTGTGCGTAGTGAGCAGGCAGCTGGTGGTCACTAACATGACCTCTTCTCACCAGTCTCACCTCTTCTAACCTCAGCCGTCCCCATAGCTTGCCTGAGATCATTCGTTTTCTCAGCCTGTCTCTGCTCTTTGGTCTGCGGGGGTCTTCTGCTCTCTTCCCCCTTCTTCCATCAAATTGCAGAAAGGGAGGGAGGAACATGGGAGGGTTCCAAGACCCACTGGGCTCGAATCCCAGCACCATCACTAACTAGCTGTGGGACTGTGTGACCAGAGGTGAGTTTCTCACCCTTTACCCTTTGGTTCCATCATCTGTAACTGGAGACTCTGCTTCTTTCTCAGGGTTGCTGTAAAGATCACTTAAGCCCTGAGTCACACCGTCCATCCCCTCTCCTCCTGATTCCTCCCTCTCTCTCTCCCTCTTTTTTCTCTTTCTATCCAACAGACACTGGCTTTCCTCTGCCTACACTCAATTTGCTGTGCCCTACTTCATCTATGACATCTATGCCATGTTCCTCTGTCACTGGCACAAGCACCAGGTCAAAGGGCACGGAGGGGATGACGGAGGAGCCAGAGCTCCAAGCAGCACCTGGGCTGTGGCGCGTGGGTACCTACACAAGGAGTTCCTCATGGTGCTCCATCATGCTGTTATGGTGCTTGTGTGCTTCCCACTCTCCGTGGTGAGTCCCTAGGGAGCCTGGGGAGCCGTGTGTCTGCATACCGGTAGCTGGGTCGGCCTGGGAGAGCCCCAGGGAAAACTATTGACGGGAGGTGGGGGTTTGCTGAGCACAAGTATCTGTGCCATGCCCAGCTGTGGTGCTTTGGATGTGTTGTCTCATGTCCCCGAGCCTCAGTTTCCTCACTTGTGATGTAGGGAACACAGTCTTACCTGAAGGGCTGTTGGAAGTAACGCACCCAACTTTGCTACTATGCCCACATGCTCAGAAGTCCAGAGTTAAGCATCTCCAAAAGTGAGAGAGAGAAAGGAGACCCGGATGAGGACCAGCCCCTTACCTTTCTCCTTTTCTGCTCAGGTGTGGCGACAGGGCAAGGGAGATTTCTTTCTGGGCTGCATGTTGATGGCAGAGGTCAGCACCCCCTTTGTCTGCCTTGGCAAGATCCTGATCCAGGTGAGAGGGTGCCTAGGGGTGTAGAGCCTGAGAGAGGGTACAGGAAGGGCAGGCACCTGTGGGGGGAGCTGCAGGCTGGGGTGGAGGGGAGGTGGGTGGGTGTTGAGTGGGGCACATGGCAGAGCGCTCCGGCCACCCTCCGTGTGTGTCCGCAGTACAAGCAGCAGCACACTCTGCTGCACAAGGTCAACGGGGCCCTGATGCTGCTCAGCTTCCTGTGCTGCCGGGTGCTGCTCTTCCCCTACCTGTACTGGGCCTACGGGCGGCACGCTGGCCTGCCCCTGCTGGCTGTGCCCTTGGCCATCCCGGCCCACGTCAACCTGGGCGCTGCACTGCTCCTGGCCCCCCAGCTCTACTGGTTCTTCCTCATCTGCCGTGGGGCCTGCCGTCTCTTCCGGCCCCGCTCCCCGCCACCCTCTCCCTGCCAGACCCAGGACTGAGGGGGACTGGGGCCCTTCCCCTTCCTGCTCCACCTCCACAGGGACAAGGCTGTGGGGCTGATGGGTGGGGGTGGCAGACAGGGGCTTTTGCCCAACAGCCCCAAGACACAGATGGACCAGAAGAGAGAGGGGCCCTGAAGGGCAGGGAGGGGGGGACCTTGTTTCCCCACGGTGCCCAAGCCAGGGCTAGCAACCCCTTCCTGCACACTACTTGCAGGAGAAGGGAACTGGCCATCCCCTCCACCCATTGAGGGATGGAGGGCTTGTGGGGAGACAAGAACTAGAACTCAAGGGGACCAGGAGTCAGGACATAGGGAGGCCCTGCTACCAAGGACATCCCACCCCTCCGCTGCAACCCCCCTGGGCTCCCTGTCATCTGGTGGGGAGAAGACACCCATACTACCCCCCACCACGGCATCACCAGGGGCTGGTGCCCCCAGAGCTCCTCTTGGGGGCAGGCCATCCTGAGGAATCTTATTTATTTATTTGCCTAAATTCAGACTAGGCTGTTGGGTGGGGGGAGGGAGGCGCTGCTAAACCCCAAGCCTTCCTAGTGCTGAGCAACCCTGGAGCAGTGAGGGGTGCCCGGTCCCTTCCCCTTAGGCTGCACATCTTGCCCTCGGGCCCTGGCATGTCCCTGGTGCTACAGACCTCTCAAGGCTTCCTCCAGTCTAGGGTCGGGGGACCCTGGGAGGTGCTTACAGACTGCTAATAAAGACGATCTGCGTGAACGCTACCCAGACCCTCTTTGCCAGGTTCTTTTGGGGTGGGGAAGGGGGGAGGTGGGAGTGCAGCCAGTGAAAGCATGGACATCTGTGAGAGAGGTCACAGATCAGCCACGGAGGAGGGAGGGAGCAAGGACTTTTATTCATCAGCAGGAGAGGAAGGAGGATTTGGGCATCTGGGTTGAGTCCAGGGGCCTTGTCCACTCTTCAGGCCCCTTTCTGGAAGCTCCTGTGGGGTATGGAGGTTAGAGATGGGACGTCACACACTGACCCCCTGGATTGGGGTTCTTCAGCCTCTCCTGAGGAAGGTGAAGGTGGGTAGATTGGGGCAGGGGGCAGGCCTTACACATGGGTGCAGAACTGGAAGAGGAGGAAGAAAAAGGCCACCACCAGAGCACCCACCAGAATGCGATGGAAGAGCCCCAAGTCGGAACCTGCTTGGCAAGGAAGGAGAACGGGAATCCTTGACTCATCTCCAGTGGAAGAGAGGGGTAGTTCACCCCCAGACCCTGGTTCACACCTGAGCGAGTGAAGATGACGGGTCTCTCTCCAATGAATTGGGCCACAGCCAGGAGTCTGGCTTGGTCCGAGTCTGGATAATCAAAGAAGTCAGGTCTGTCTATGAAGACGGGAGACTCCATGCCTGGGGCTAAAGCCTTGGTGCTCTTTGGGCTGGGCGCTAGGACCCACAGCAAAAGTCTATGACAACAGTCAAACAGACTCCTGCCCATACCCCAAGAGGCTGAGGCTGACTCAAGGCCTTATTAGGCCACACTGCCTTATTATGGCTCCCAAAGGGCTTGAATTTGTTCCCAAGTTCAGCAGTGCTCTTCCTAAGAGGACCCATGGTAGAGATGGGGTGTGGAGAGGACAGATGGGGAAGATGGGAGAGAAGGGTGGAGAGAAAGGCCCAGGGTTGTCTTCCCACTCCTTAAGGGGGCATCTCCCCTTACCCCCAGAGCCTTCTTCCTTCCCACTGCTACCAACACAGTACCCCACCTGTTTCTACTGCCCACAGCCCAGTCAGCCACATCCATGCCAACGCCCACTGCCACAGCCTCATGGCCCTTCCACTCCTATATGGGTATGGGGGCTCTGTGATGTCATAGCCCAGAACCATCGTGACTGCATGCTCTGGGGCGAGAGGAGAAAGTGCTGAGACCTGGGACCACCAGAATCAGAAGAGAGGAGGTTTATCTTTGGGGATGACACTGATGACAAAACGATAAGAGTGGCTGCCTCAGAATTTACAAAGAAGAGGAGCTTGGTAGGGCAATCTTGCTGAAGGCCAGAACTAAGGGAAGCCGCATTTGTATGTGTATAGCAGGCACATTTGGGGGTTGGGTGACAGAGCTACTACATAACTTCAGTCACCCTCCTCCCTGTTTTGGAGAGAGTCTCACTCTGTTGCCCTCAACAGGGTGCTGTGGCATCATAGCTCACACAGCAACCTCAAACTCTTGGGCTCAAGCGATCCTCTTGCCTCAGCCTCTTGAGTAGCTGGGACTACAGGCGCTGGCCACTATGCTGGATCAGTGTTTCAATTTTTCTTTCTTTCTTTTTTTTTTTTAGAGACAGAGTCTCATTTTGTTGCCCCTGGTAGAGTGCCGTGGCACCACAGCTCACAGCAACTTCCAGCTCTTGGGCTCAGGCGATTCTCTTGCCTCCGCCTCCAGAGTAGCTAGCTGGGACTACAGGAGCCCACCACAACGCCTGGCTATAGTATTTCTATTTTTAGTAAGATGATTTCACTCCTGATTAGGTTGGTCTGGAACTCCTCAAGCAGTCCACTTCGCTTGGCCTCCCAGTATGCTAGGATTACAGGCATGAACCCCCATGCCCGGCCTGCACTTGCCCCTTTGATCAACTACAGGTACCATTTATTGAGTACTTATTTCTATTTCAAGAACTTTGTGCACATTGACTCTTTTAACCACTGCCATAACCCTGGAGGCAGGTACTCTTGTCTCCCCTTGTACGAGGAAGGAACCAAGGCATAGAGGGGAAAAATGATGTGGGCAGTGCACACTCAGGAGCGTGTGCTGTCCTTCCTGAGGTTTCCTCCTTGCCCAAATTCTGGGCACAGCGGTTTCCCAGAGCCACTGAAGCATCTTCCATCTCCAACCCCCATCTCATTACCCGGCTGAGAATAACCCTGGGGCTAGGAATCAAGAGAAATAACTGGCTCTTCCCGCTAGGTGGCAGCCGTGTCCATGCCTGGCCCTCCCCTCCGCTGGCCCCGGGAAGGCACCAGGCCGGCGGCTCCCGGCCCTCCTCCCGCCTCTTCCCACACCTGGTGCTGCTAGAAAATGGATCACTGAGGAATGGCAGTGGGGGACGGGGAGATTATCAAAGGAAGTCCCCGGGCCCATTCTTAGGCAGGTCTCTCGGCCGTCCACAGAGTCTTTGTTGACTCTCCTCGCGTCTCACTTTCCCCTTGCGTGGCCAGTGGGCTCTCTCAAGGGCCATCCCACCTCCCCTCTCAGTCACTTCCCAACAGCCATTCTCACTGCTGTGGCCCCATCTCAGGGTATGAGTTAGCTCCCTTCTCATTGGCAGGTAGGTCTGTTTGTCACAGACATATCCCGCCCCACCCCCACCCCCACCCCCTAAACCCAGGGACACTTCAGGGTCTCCTTAATGTCACTCAACACACAGATGCCTGTTCATCAGCCGCTAGCACACCCAGGGCGTGGCTTGCCCCCAAAGCCAGGCGTGTGTCTGTGCCATGTATGATGTCCTTTGCCCACAGAGGCTCCTTTTCTGCCTGGATACCCCACCTGTACATCTTTCCTGCCCTCAGGGACCCCAGAGTCCTAGCCCACCTGTGCTTCAAATCGCAACCCTGGGAGGCACTCACCAAGGCACTTAGCTCCTAAACAAGAAAAAAGCCCAGAAAGAGAGGAAAATGAACAAAACAAAGGGAAAAAGAGAGAGGAGGCAGACTGACACCTATGGGGCCTCCTTTAGAACTGGCCCGTGAGGGCCGCTTCCCCAAACAAATCTCTTCTCAAAAAGGGGAAGTGACTTACCTCAAATCACAGGGCACTGTGAGGGGATAAAGGGACTCAATAGCCTAGTTCCGAAGGCTTTCGTGCAGCTGCTGCTCAGGGTTAGCTGGGGGAGTCCAGAGCATGTGGCCTTTGGGGCTGATTTTTTTCCTTCTTCATTCTCCTCAAAAGAATACAGCTGCTCTTTCTACAAGAAAAGACCCTTTGGACTCAAACAAGGAATTATCCACTCATCCATTCATCCAATCATTAAATACATGTATTGAGCTCCTGCTGTGTGCTGGGTAGAGTCCTTTTATGGCTCAGATAGAAATCACCAAGGCATGGTCTCTGCCTTCCAGAATCACAGGGGAGAGAAGTCGTGGATGCACATCATTCTAATATAGATGGACATCTCCTAAGGAGTTGTCTCCACTTGCTGTCTCCTTTCCTTCACCTTTAATGTAGTCTTCAACTTCTTCTCATCTGGGTTCATCTGACCACTGCACTGAAACCACTTTGGTCAAGTCCACCAATGGCCTTAATTTGCCAAATTGAATGGTTACTTCTTATTCCATTCTGTCTGCCTCTCAGCAGGGCACCTGCCTCCAACTCACAGCATAGAAGCCATGTTCACCAATTTTCGGGACTCCTACTTCTCTAGCCAGCTCAGCCTTGGGCATTTTCTTTTCTATCTATATTCTCTCTGTCTAGGTGATCTCATCCAGACTCATGGCTTTAAATACCATCGATATGCTGGTGACTCACAAATGCATATTTCCAGCCCAGACCTCTCCTCTGAGCTCTAGACTCCTATATCCAACTTCCTGCTTGATGTATATGTTCGTATGTCCAAAAGCATCTCCAATGAAATAGACCCCAAACAGAACTCTTGATTCTCCTTCCAAACCTGCTCCTTCTCTAGTTTTTTCATCCCAGCAAATGGTTCCACTGTTCTGCAGGATGTTCTACTCAAGACAGGAATCTAGGAATCACCTCAGATCCCTACCAATTGCTCATCTGACAAATCCACAGTTAGGACCTATTGGCTCAATTTCTAACAGAGATCCCAAATCCATCTGCTGCCCTTCCCTCCAGTGCATCCCTCCCTGTTCCAGTCAATGCTGTGTTTCACCTGGCCTGCTGCAACAACCTTCAGACTGGTTCATCTACGTTCACCTCTACCCTCCAACATCCATTCCCCAACTACCAGCCAGAACAGAACATGTGGATCCACTACTCAAAACTCTCCAGTGACTTCCCATTGTCTCTGGTATAAATTATGAGTGTTTCTCCTTTGCTTGCAAGACTCCTGCTGGCTGGGCCCTGTCTGGTGACCCACCTCAAACCTCACCCTTCCCCTGCTTCAGCATATCTCAGCGACACTGGCCTTCGGTCCTTTCTTTGAATATGCTAGTTTCCTGATAGCTTGCCAGCCTTGGCATGATCTCTGCGTGGTATATCCCTGTTTCCACACTTGACCTGGCTAACTCCTCCTCACCTTTCAGGTCTCAGCCGACACAACACTTCCTTTGGGAAGTGAGCCCTGCGCTCCCATGGCTCTCTGACCATCTCAATCTTTGTGGCTATTGCCCTGAATCTGAACTGTCTGTGTGTTTGTCCATCTCCCCTAGGAGGCTGGGAAGCCAGAGATCACTGATCTTGATCACAGTTGTATCACCTAAATCTGTAGTAGGTGTTCAACAAATACTGAATGACTAGAAGGATGACTGGTTGATGAAAAGTCTTCCTCCTTTGGACAAATCAGGACTCAGAACTGCTTGCCATTTTCCTCTTCAGTTGGTTTAGCTCCTCATCCTCACCTGCCTTCAACAAGGCTCTCTGGAGGCAGATGGGCTGAGCGCACTGAGAAGAGAGCACTGCAGGAGACTAGACTCAGCACAGTCCTGGACTGGGTTGTCTCCCTCACTCCACAGCAAGCTCCCTGCCTCCACCTTCTCATTGGATCCACCAGCTATGACCTTGGATGGCATTTTCCTTAGTCCTGCCTCCTTTCTATCCCAAAGTGCCATGAAGAAAACCTAATGGTTGCCTTTATTTTAGTTATTTATTTTTGAGACAGAGTCTCACTTTCTTGCCCCCAGTAGAGTGTCATGGCATTATAGTTCACAGCAACCTCAAACTCTTGGGCTCAAGTTATCCTCTTGCTTCGGCCTTCCAAGTAGCTGGGACTTCTGGTGCCTGCCACAACACCTGGCTAGTTTTTCTGTTTTTAGTAGAGATGGGTCTTGTTCTTGTTCAGGCTGTTCTCAAACTCCTGGGCTTAGGCAATCTACCCACCTCAGCCTTCCAGAGTGCTAGAATTACAGGCATGAGCCACCATGCCCAGCTAGTTGCCTTCACTTTAAAAATATATTATTGGTCAGGTGTGGTGGCTCACACCTATAATCTTAGTACTCTGGGAGGCTGAGGTATGTGGATCACCTGAGCTCAGGAGTTGGAGACCACTCTGAACAAGAGCAAGACCCCATTTCTATTTAAAAAAATTGCCTGGGGGGCAGCACCAGTGGCTCAAAAGGGTAGGGCGCTGATCCCATATGCCGGAGGTGGCGGGTTCAAACCCAGCCCCAGCCAAAAACAGCAAATAATAATAATAAAAAAATAGCCTGGTATTGTGGTGGATACCTATAGTCCCAGCTACTTGGGAGGCTGAGGCAAGATCTCTTAGGCCCAAGAATTTGAGGTTGCTGTGAGCTATGATGCCACGGCACTCTACCGAGGGTGAGAAAATCAGACTCTGTCTCAAAAAAAAAAATATATATATATATATATATTACATACTATATGTATATATTACCTTACTGTACTCTTTGGAATAGGTAACCTATCACAAGGTAGAAAATTCAAAAGATTCAAAAGGATGTGTGTGTGTATATATATATAT